ACCCAGGATAACTGGAAAACTAAAGATTTCTTATTATTTCTGAATTAGTAACAAATTTACTTAATTGTGTTAATGAATTGGCATTTTTGTCTTACATGTTTATTTATTTTACATAGCTAAAATTTCTTGAGCACAGACATTAAGTCTGGGCATGCACTAATTCACATGATTCACGTGATTCACGTAATAAACCTCAGAATTACCTGAAATCATTTCTCCTACTCTAAATATAAGTAAACCAAAGTTTAGGGGTGCCTGGGTGGCTCAGTTGGTTAAGTGTCCGATTCTTGATTTAGGCTCAGGTCATGATCTCAGGGTCGTGAGATTGAGCCCCACAGGCTCCATGCTCACGGGGAGTCTGCTTAAGATTCTTTCCCTCTGCCTCTCCCCTGACTCGTGCTTGCTCTCTCTCTCTCTTTCAAATAAATAAATCTTAAAAAAAAAGAAAAAAAAGAAAAGAAAACCAAAATTGAAAGAAGCTTGGAGAGGAACTTCCTCAAAGCTCTCCAGCTGTAAGTAGTCAGACTAAGACTTGGCCTTGGGTTTGTCTGACTCTGAAAAATATTTTCCTAAGAACTATCATACACAGTCCTTCCTGTTGAAGTCTCTGGGTTCAGACCACAGGAGTTTCTCAACTAGCTCCTGCTCCTCTTTCCTCTGTGTCCATTGATGGTCCACCATTTTCCTAGTTCTCTAGAGTCTAAACAAGCACTACCCAACAGAAATATAATGTGAGCTGCATACATAATTTTACATTTTCTAGTAGCCATGTTAAAAGTTTTAAAAGAAACATGTTAATTTTTAATTTAAGCCAAAATATACAAAATATCAGCATTTCAACATGTAATCAATATAAAAATTAATGAGATATTTACATTCTTTAATGAAAAATTATTAGAAATCCAGAGTACATTTTACACTTACACTGCATCTCAATTTAGACTAGCCACAGTTCAGCTGATTAATAGCTACATGTGGCTGTGGTTACCATATTGAATAATGCAGGTCTAGACCTTATAGTTACCTTTCACTCATTCTCTCACCCTCCATATCCAACATTTACCATGTCTCTTACCACATTATTTCTTTATCTACCAAGCACCTTAATTACCTCACAAGTCCCCCATCTATTCTGTTTCCTTGTTCCAATCCATCAAATAAACTACTATGTTTATTTGTATCAAAGTGCTACAAAAAAAATCAATGGCTCCCCACTACTTACCAAACAGCATTCAAATGCCTCAGCCTGATACTCAAAACCCTCCATAAAATACCCCCTCATCATTTTACAGTCTCATGTTTCATTGTTTCCCTTGCTTCAGCTAATCCAGTCTATTGATTTTCCCCCAATCATACCCCTACATCACCAATTCTGTCCCTTTGGTCATTGACCCCTCTCTTCTGCCTATTAACATTTTACCTTTTCTTCAGAGCTGTTATTGAGCTCTACTTTTTCATTAATACTTGCCTGTTCTTCCCAACTGGATGGGATGTCCTCATTCTTTCACAGCACAATCCTGTAATTTTCATGCAATTTAGGCAAACCCATTTCAACTTAGAATCCTGCATATATTTTTCTTATCCCTTCTATATTTTAGCCTGTGGGCCAGGATAGTATCTTTAAAATCTTAATATCACAGGTAGCTCAACTGGTTTCATTAATCTATAGGTAGCTAAGAGAAGCAAATTTATCTCTGAGATCCATTGGTGGCAGTAAGCAAAAATATGGGAAACCAAATTTTTGAAATAGCTTCTCATTATTCAGGCAACAAAAGATACCCACAAAACAAAATATTTAATGTGATAGGGTTTCCCTATAAAGTTGGACTAGAAAGCTAAGATTAAAAGTCAATACTGAGCCTGTAAACTTTCTTACAGGGATGTATCTTACAAGCAGAGTTGTTGTGGAAAGTACTGGATGTGAGAGAAAGGCTGGACCCATTACTGAATTGTTGTCATATTGTAATTTATATATAAAATGTACATTTCCTCACCTTGTCTGGGAGCATTTTTCCAATATTATAATCTTCATTTTGGCTTCTCCTAGGTAACGTCAAACTGTATATCCAGAGCCATTAAGCTTAGGTCTTTGTTCTTTTTTGTAAGACACAAGCTGATAAAGCAGCAGGCCAGTAGTATATAAAGAAATATAAAAGTTTCTTCAAAAGAAATCAAACCAATGGAAATAAATTGTTAAGTACATAAGTGAGAGCAGCATTATTTCAGCCCATTTGTCTGAAAGGCACTCACACTCTTAGAGCAAATTCAAAGAAGGAAAAAGAGCACTAAGTTTTTGGACCCATGCCCAGGATCCTTTTCTTCTAAATATGGAAAGAGATATTTAAGTCCCTGGTGCCTTCATACCCACTTTTCAGGTTGCTTCTGTGATTCTGCCTCCCCACAACGTGACTGGTTCTTATCCTCAGGCAGAAAGCTCTTTCCATCTGTGCCGACTGCATCAATTCAATTCCATTCAATTATGCAGGGATCCAGGAAAGTGGACATAATTCAAACCAGAGACAGTGAACTACTTAGTGTTTGAGATTTTTTTCCCCCAGTTCCTAATAGCCTATCAACTACAGGAGAAAGAAGAGTTTTTAGAGTTGGCTTATTTTGAAAGCTAAGCAGAGACAACCATTACTGGTTTATTTAGTCTCTTATTTAATATTGATGGTAAAAATTTCTTTGGGAGAGTTGGACATGAGAAGGAGTTTAGCCTATGTGTCTTTTATAAAAATAGGGCAGTCAGGATAAGGTTCCGTGGTAAGGAGACAGTTTCCCTATTCACAGTAATCACAAACTCAGGTGGTCCTGGTTTTCACAGTGACACCGCATTGATGCTTGAACCAATACAGCCTCTTGGTGGCAAAGTGAGCCACTCTAAGTGGTCACCCTGTCTCCCAACAGGCCCCACTTGGCTAGTGACCAGTGGAAATGGCCTAGTGCATCTCAGGATGGGTTTTCCCAGGAGAAAGACTGGAACCTCCTCCCAATGAGGTCAAGTGAGGATGAGGTAGTCTTAATTTGATAATTAAAAAATTGTAAACTATTTTGTATCACAAACTGATGAGAAGGTAACATGAGACATATATATGTATATATAAAACTTCTGTATTTGCTTCCTCAAACTATAGAGATAACTACATCCATATTCGGTCAAAGCGGTGCTAGATTTTACTTGTCCATATGAACTAATAATAGTTTAATAGATCTTCTTTTCAAGGCAATTCAATATAATTTGTGTATACACAGCAATGTTTACAAATATTCTAACTATTAAATCCATGGGGCAATAGTAAAAATATCTTCCAGGTAAATGAATGTTTGGGAGTGTGTCTCGCATTATGGAATATATTTAACTCAGAGGACTCACCTCGAAGAATTTTAAGAAAACTGCTACAATATGAAGAAATAGCTGGGATGATTTAACCAAGGCTTTATAAAAATTTGTCCTGGTTGATCTTGCCATGAGTATTAATTCACTTCAGTGGTAGCAATCAGGTCACAAAGAGAGGGCGTGGGCCAGGGTAGGGTGGAATGATGTGGGCATGTAGTGTTAGGATCAGGAAAAAAAGATGATAAAATCCTTTTTCATGGTGGATCTTTGTTTTGAGGTTAAAGTTGTCCTTATTACAATCAACTCAACAACTCTACTATATTTATGGTTCTCAATATGGCTTGAAATTCTTGTGGAAATTCCAAGCTTCCTGAGAGAAGCATTCTGAGTTACTTTCTTTTAGTTCTTAATAATAATAGGTCTTTAAAAGCCCATCCACCTGCAATCCGTGGTGTGTGTGTGTGTGTGTGTGTGTGTTTGTTCTGTAAACACTCAAATAGGAAAACAAAGCGTAACCACCTACTTTTGGACTCACAAATAGAGTGCAAGTGGGAAAAATGCATTTATTTGTAAAAGGAAAATTAAGAGTCACTTGGACGATGTGATTTATTACCACCAAATACATACTGGGCACTGTCTAAGGCACTTACATAATATATAAGTTTGTTTTTTGACTCCCGAAAGAGACAAATTGGCTCTTTATGTTCCCGTCTTAGATGTGTCCATCTGTATGTGTTTCAGTGTCTAACACACTCCAAAGTCTCTTTTATTTATATGAGGTAGTTGTTCCTGGGTTGCTCAAATAACTATATACTTCATCAATCCATTGTCTTGCTAGGAATACACAGAGAAATATTGTGTTCTTGGAAATACCTTACACTTGGGCTTTGATGTCCCACATAAATCAGTGGATTATAGGGGACTTCACAATCACTGGTTTGCAAAATTGATAATAAACATCAGCTCCCAGTAGCAAAAGAAGAAATCTACCTTTCTGCTGTGTTCCACTTGTCCTTCCCACTTGTCCTCCCTGCCCCTAACAAATCGGGAGAACCAATGGGGACATCTGCTGCTACTCTAGTCTAATGGGAAATTATCTTTGACTCTGAGATTTATACTTACAGTGTTTGAATAAGGCCTAAACTAGAATGAGTTCTGTCATGTGTTCTTATGGCTCATGCTACATAAAAACCATTTTGAGGTCAATTTTAGTCAAGAAAATTTGCCAGGAGATTGGGAATGTCTTCCAAATACTTGAGCAAATTTTGTGTTGAAAGTGAACTGCTGGGTGCCTGGGTGGCTCAGTCAGTTAAGTGTCAGCCTTCAGCTCAGGTCATGATCCCAGGGTCCTGGAACTGAGTCCCACATCAGGCTCCATGCTCAGCAGGGAGTCCGCTTCTCCCTCTCCCTCTACCCCTCCCCTGCTGCTCATGCTCGCTCACTCTCTCTCTCAAATAAATAAATAAAATCTTAAAAAACTGCTAAAGAAATATAACTATATGCTTTTAAAATGAGACCTCTGGAATCAAGGAACATAAAGCAACTGCCAAATATTTGTGACCCCCCCCTACTTAATAAAGGCATCTTTATTTCACCAGAAATAAAATTTTATTAGTAACATGTCAAATATGTTTTAAAATACAGTTACCTTTCTTCTTCCTCTCAGTTTAAAAAACAATCCAATAAAAACTCTAAATCATGACCCAAATATTTTTAAATGTGAAAATGACATATTTTAGATTATGTAACAGATACACAGTTTCCCAAATAAATGTTGTAGAACACCATCTGCTTGATATTTGGGTGCATTCCCACAGAACTAAATTTCTGCTTTTTTCCCCTTCATTAATGGCTTATGACAAATTTATGACACTATATTTCACAATATCTATATCAACAATTTATGACCAAAGGAGAGCCTGACAAAAATCACTTGGCATGCTCAAATTAGACAATTTGTGCAACTCCCTCATTTACACCAATCCTCCACCCCTTACTTAGACACTGACAACTAAAGAGAAACAATGAGTCCATAGCAAGGGGAGGATCTCTTATGGAATAAAGCTCAAGAAAGAGTTCAAAACAAGAAGTTGAAGATCCAGGTGCCATTTTTCAGCTTATGTTTACCAAATTGTTCAGCCCATGCTTTCACCCACAAGTCTGAATTTAATATAGAATGTTTTTATAACGTCTTCTCAGGTTCGGCCAAGCAAGAACTTGCCAAATTCTTCTTAACTGTGAACAAAATTTCATCTGTGCTCTAGTGTTAACAAATAGAGCTCACTTATCTGGGTATAATCAATGGAAAGAAAACCAAGAAGAGAAATTTGCCATGTGTCATTTCCTGACTGATAAGAATGGTACATGACTACATCCATGTTCCTTTTTTGCGCTTGATGTAGATAAAATTTGTACGAGAAATCATTTTGTATGTATTTTGCTATATAAAATATTATAATATTTGTGACCAGTTTGGAAACTTTATCTTTCATTTCTTTCGATTAAAAAATTCTATAGAAGAGAGACACGAACACGTATTCTTTGAAAGTAATCAGAATACAGGCTTGAGTGTATATTTTGATTTTCAAAGTGATGTAGAGCTTTACTACCCAAAGTGTGGTTGGTAGACTGGTAGCACCCACATCACCTAGGAAACTTGAGAAATGCAGACTCTCAGGCCCCATCCCAGATCTACTAAAAGGAATTTGTATTTCAATAAGATCTCCAGTGACTTCTGTGCACAAGAAGATTTGAGATGTGCTAATGTAGAGGAATGTTCTTTTCCTACCCAACTATAGAATAATCCCAGGGGAAAGATAGAACTACGCTAATAGGAAGATTTTGTTCAAAATGTTTAACCATGAATGTAACAACTTTTAGACATGATCCACTTAATAAAACAAAAACAAAAACACCTGAAACATGTCACATTGCTGATGTATAAAATGAAGTTTGAGAATGGGAAAATGTAAATTAAAATTCTCTATTACATAATAATCATGAACTGCTTGCATTGATTGCACACAATCTTTCATTGTTTCCAATCTAAGGTATCTTCTTTAGCAAAACATATACAAATGATAACTATTACACTGAACACTAGAAACGTGAAGATTACCTTAGTAGTCAATTATTTGATGACTAAGTACAATAGTTTTAAAAAGCATTATATCAAGAAACTGATGAATTCTTGTTTGATACACTTTGGAAACCATTTCCCGAAAGAGTTCAACCAGTACTGCAAATTGTTGCTTTCTTCCTAGTATCTTTGAGCAATTCAACATCAATGCTGGGGGAGATAGGAGGGTGAAGAATTAGAACGAAAACCTCCACTTACAGTGGACTGCAAAGTCTGGGGTTGGGCTGTGATTCAGAGTGGAGGGAAGGAAGAGCTGGCTGCGTAGCTGGTGTTAAGAAATCCAAGGCTCATTCAAGCAGCTCACTAGCACGAGGCAAATTAAAGAAAGTTGCCCTTCTAACCTTGGCCACACTATATACAACTCAGAGGCTGTGATTTCCTGATTCTGCTTCTCCTTCAAGGCTCTCCTTCATATTAATATTAGCCTGATTTCCCCTACAAAAGAACATGAAAGCTGGAGAAGTGGGAGAGAAGGAATTCTGTATTTGCACTTGTCTCCCTACCTCCCCTACAATCTCTGTGCCCCAGGAATGAGCTAAGGCCGGCCACACTTGCTGTCTATGACAGTGGCTATTATGCTTCCAAGTATAAAATATGTTGCAAAGCAGAATGTACACTGCTTCCCCTCTAAGATCGAGGTCAGTAGACCTTCCCTTCTCCTTGTGCATCTTCTTAGCTGTAAACACTTCTGGAGACACATGTTTGATAACCATCCCATAGCTTGAAAAAGAGAAATGCAGGTGCTTTCAATACTTTAAAAACAAAACGAAACATCTCTGAGTTCCTCCTTCATCAGTGAACTGCTTGAGCAGTTCACAGGGACTGTGTATCATTCACCTCTATATCTCCAACCCTGGCACAGTGTCTGGCTCATAGTAGTTGCTTAATAAACGGTGGGGAGTTAGATTTATTTCCGAGTCCTCTAGCACTGAATTATTAAATCTTGGATTAAATCTTATTAAATTGTACATTGAAATCTGATCATATGTTTGAGCTTATCCATTTATATACAGGCGTACCATTAGTCTTGCCCCTAACTTAATTAATGTCTCTTTTTTCCTCTATTCATCTAACCAGGGAGCTCAGTTTTGGCAATATTTCACAGTAACATCACATTTCAAATAATACGTAGGCTGAATAAAATCTAGCTTATGCATCATTGATGAATGAAAGAAAATATCCGTATGTTCTGGATATCAGGTTTGGGGGTGTACAGGAGACACAGGGAGTCAAAATGAGTGTAGCAAGTAAGGCCATCTGCCCTCACAATGAAACAACATTCTCTTTCACTTATTAATACTGTTTTTTAATTTCTCTGCACCCCTCCAACACACTTTTTTCCTTCCTCGTCTCATCATTTTCCTCTTCTCTCTTTTTAAAATTTTCTTCTTTACTAGGCCTGCAGGCTGAGGACTCACAAGAGTGATCAATATTACCTAAGGCATTCAGATTTCTCATCCTGTCTTTCTTACTCTAAGGATGGCTTCTGTTACCAAAGAAAGGATGTCTACATTCAAAAAAGCTGTAACTAGTCTCCCACCTTTTGCTTCTCCCGTAATAGAGCATGTGGGATGGGGTCAGCAAAGCAGGTCTATATGGAGTCTCTCCATATATCAGTTTGCCAGAGTAAAATGACAGCAATCTTATTGGTTGATTCAGAGACATTTACATCACTTAAATACAAATTATTGTTTTTTTAAAAATCAAGATAACATTAGTCCACTCCTTATCTATGAATTGTTTATTGCACAAGAAATTAAATGCTCTTAAAGATATTTTTAAATAACCTGGTTTGAAATCATTTTTTTTTAAAAAGCATATTCACAAATACCACTGGTTTCTAAGACAGTTCCTTCTCTACATATGAATATAGAGATCAGAGAGCTCAGTTAATGACATCATCAAATAAAACAGACTTTACCTCTGTTGCTGGTTCATTGCCCAAGAGTTGTTACTTTAAGATTTCTGACATACGCTAACTATTATAATTTCACACTTTCTTGGTAATTTTTTCTCTCCCTCTCTATTCTATTCCAAAGTTGCATTTCTATTCTCAAACAATTTCAATATATGGCAGTTTTGTAAGTCACATCAATTTGCACAGGTGTGTTTTTGTTATAGGCACTGTACTAAAGCAAACCAAATGTTTCTCTCAGTAAAAAGAAAAAGAAAAAGTTAAAACTATTAGAGAGCTAATTCTATTTTTAAATTATATGTAGTATAATTATCCTATCTAATTTGGAGTCTATTCAATTAATATCCTCATTGTTTAAGAAACCTTTTTAAAAGAAGTGCTCTTGAAGTATTTTATAAGCAGTGAAACAAAGTTTTTGAACTTTGGTGCCAAATTTTCCCCTTAAATTAATTTTTAAATACTTATATCTATTTCAAAGCTATTTCACCATTCAAACAAAATTGCCTTTAAAAATCAGCCCCAATTATAATTTTTCAGTTTGTTCTAAAGTATTTTTTAATAATTCTGATTGAGCAATTAAATAAAAACCTGATACTTTTATCAATTATAAATCTACATAATCTTCAACAACACATGCTAATTAGGGCACTAATATTTATACCAAAAACATCCATGTGAGTGACCTGATGATTAATTAAAGGGAACAAATAGTGAATCGGAACTAAAAACAAAATTCTCTTGAATAAAAAAAAGACTTCTTGGTCACAAGATGGCATTCAACTAGGGATGGAACAATGTTGACAAGTCACCATATTTAGATTTGTGAAAGCATATGATCACCGAAAGCCTGTAATATCTTCACTTAAAGCAGTGTCCTTGATTTTCATTATTTCCTGTAAAGTGCTCTGAAAGCACATTAGTAAGCAAATCGTTCCAAAACCCTTTAACAGTGTTCTTCTATGTCCTATGCAATCCTTATTTTAGATTCTTATCTTCATTATCATAGTCTCTCTAACACTCATCTTTGGGTCTTTGGTATTTTCTTGAATATACCTTTGGCACCTAGGTTTCCCAATCTGTTTTATCAATTAATGACAATTCTTTAAATGATATGTTCCACAGAACATAACCCCAGACACTGAAATCTCACTCAAACCTCAAAGAACATATGAACCACTTCAAATAATTTCAGGGATCTATCCAACTTGTTAAATAATTATCTTTCAAATTGCAAAATATAGGGACTTATCTGAACTTCACCACCAAAAGCATTCTGAAACATTTTGTAAAATAGTGAATGGTCAACTACTATACAAAAATCAGTGCAAAGTTTCATCCAGGCAGCCTTAAATGTACTCTTCGATGAAGAAATAACATCATGTAGAATTTCTGTTGTTTTCACCAATTTTTGCAGATACGACTTTTTAAAATTATCAACCTATTAAAAACAAATTTGACCTGCCTCCCCTTTTCCTGAGCCTCACAGCCTGTAAAAATGACATCATAAATAAAATGTAAACTCTTAACTGAAAGCCCACCACAAATTTTAACTGACCTCTAGAACTTACAGATAAGCCTATCTGCAAGGCTCATTTTATTAAATTTTACTTTTAAGAGAAATGTCTATCAAGCCAAAAATAAAATAAAATAAAATAAAATAAAAAAATAAAATAAAATAAAATGGATCAGTTTGGAGTAATCTGGTTGTTACATTCAGCAGTTAAGTTGCAATACGTTTGCTCCAACTTGAATTGCTACCAACGGTAAGGGAGAATGGTGTCAAACAATTATTTGGCACAATGCTTGACAAGCGAAAGCTTTTCAGAAAGAACCTATCTTCCCCTCATTGTTTACAGAAAACAAAATTCATTCCACCCTTAATATTCAAGGACACCACATTATCAGTTCAATGTCATTTTTTGTTACTTTCCACTAAGAGTGGCAGAATTTGGAAACAGTGGGCTTAAAAGTTTAAATCAGTATAAGAACTTGACATAGGTCTCCTTGTACACATCATCTTATCTTAAAAAGAGCATAAAAACCTTTGCCTGTAAAGCACTTATTTGCCGCTTTATAATATGTGGACATATTTTCAATTTGGATGATACTAAGGACTGCTGAGTAATAACCAGGCTTTTCTCCACTCAGTTCAGCATGCATGTCATCTTTGATCTCAAGTGCACTGGTAATTAGTGCCTTATTTTAACATCTTCACTATAAACAGTTCAGGCATTTAGAAACAAAGTATCAATGAACTTAACGGTTACTTTAATTCATTTTATAAATAAGCAGCTGAGAATTTTGCTCCAAGTGGCTGCTAGTGTAGCCCATTCCATAAATGGCATTCTCCGAAGCATAAGGCACAATATGATATGAATGCAGCTCTTCATAATAAAGAGACTGAGAACAGCATTCCTGTACCATGAACTTCAGCCGTTTTCTTGTATCAGAATAAGCAGTCTTATAACAGGGAGCTTCTTTAAAGTATTCATAGCTCTCTTTCTCCGTCTCTAGATGTATCTTCCTCAGCAAATTGTTAATTAACACAGACCTTCTTAAGTAGGTTTCTGGGTCTTCAAGAAACCTGAGCTTCTCCAGAGAAAGTTTGAGAATGCAAGTCCTGTCCTCAGGCAATATCAGGTGCTGGAAAGCAAATACATCATTATCTATGTTTTAGAAAAATGAAAACTAGAGCTTTCGCTATTGACAAGACTCATACAAATGAAAATATAATAATAAGTAAACCCTTACTTTTGGAAAATACCCATGGTAATCTTGATGTAAATCTTCTTCTTCTGCATATTTTCTCTTAAAGTAGGCTACTTTCGACGTTGTTAATGTATATGTTAATACTTTTGTTGGATAAGCTAAACAAAATAAAATAATTGAAGAAAAGTCAGATTTTATTGTGGCAAAGAGTATTTTATCATGTAAGTTCTACTTATAAAAAGAAACTGTCGACCCTAGAAAATAAAATTCTATCTTCATTTACTGGGCAAAGTGATAAAAGTAGTCGGGAACAATTCTCTTGTGACCAAAAAGCCTGTTTGCAGGCAAATGCCACTATTCGGACCCAAAATAGATGTTCCAGGTTGGACAACTATATTTATTTCCTTATGAATCTCCTCAAAAATAAAATACTTACCAATTCCCTACTTAATTCCATGCCATTTAATGTCAAAATATGCCCAAATTTGAAGTTGATTCACAAAATTAATGGAAAGAGGTAAGCTATTTTCGTCATTCTTTTAGTTAAATTACCTAACTTATAAAGAAAATTTAATGTTCCTAGGTTAATCAAATGGTTGGCAACCCAATTACACCCTAAAGAAATAATTATGCGTGTCTGTAGACAAACCCTATGATACTATGGTCATGGTATGACCATCCTCATAACACAGAGGTTAATCATATGGAAATGAAAGGTTTAAATAACATTCTGACTAGCAAACCTGACCTTGGTATATAATATCTGAACGTGAAAATCTTTGTTCTCTCCTTTAAACTGCTATTGCTATTGGGGATTCTGACTTGCTTAAGGAAGAGCGGTCGTGTTCTGAAAGCCGATTTGCAGAAATCATTTGGTTTAAAGGGAGTACCTAGTGTGTACTGTAGGTGGTGCTCATACCACAGAAAACAGGCAAGTTCGAGCTTAAAAACAAAGGACAAGTAGCTTCCCAGTGAAAGCACTGAATGAATTTAGAATACAAATTGAGTCCTGGTTAGTACAGACTCATTCAACCTCAGGGAGCTGAACCAAAATAAATGCTCATATTTATACATCATCGATTTTACTTTTAATCTACATCCTCAAATATTTCTAGGTGTTGAAACTATGTGATTCACAAAATGAGTAGTTTATTAACGTATTAAATAAATTTACGATGAAGACATTTAATGTTTTTCCTCTGTGTTAAATTTAAAAAATCTTAAATATTAAAAATGTGCACTTCAAGAACTTGCTTGTCCTAGTTTTTCTTCCAATTCAGTGGCATCTGTGTAACACATCCTGCAGCTTTTAGTAGCTGGATGGTTTTCCTAAAGCGTAGGAAAAGCAACGTAAGCCACACCTAAAGCAGTCCAAATTTTCACTGATACCAGTGTGGATCAAAGAACCGAAGGAGTCTTCAGTTAGAATTGGCATGATTTATAAGGGCAGTGAGAATTTTAAAGCACTGGTTGGTCTGACCTAAAAAGAGACAAATGTACAATGATTATTGTCTGTGATTGTCTAATGAGTCAAAGACAGTAGTTGCTACTATATGTATGCAATCTCTGAGTGCAGTAAGCAGAACTCAATTTATATGGAGTTTTCACAGATTTCAAAAGGTTGGGGGGAAAGAGAACAAAATGGAGTATATCGAAAACGAAGAAAGCATTACAGAATCCAGTTTTCTTCTTCTTAGGGGCCGTTTTGGGTTGTTTTTTGGTTTGGGTTTTTTTGTTTTGCTTTTGTGTTTTTGTTTTTTGTAAACTGCATTTTCTTATGTGTATTTTTAAAGAGTTTAATCAAATAATTAGGTGAAGCTTTGGGTTATTCTGTGATGACAATTAATTATTGCGACTGAATTCTCTTTTAACTATTTAGTTGATGCCATAGTGGTTCTCAAACGTTGGAGAGCATCAGAATCATCTGAAGGGCTCCTTAAAACACAAATTGCTGGATCCCAGCCCCAGAATTTCTAATTCAGTAGCCTTGAACTAGGAGCAGAGAATCTACATTTGTGACAGATTTCCAGGTGATGCTGAGGCTGCGGGTGTGGGGACTGAATTTTGAGAGCCTCTGTATGAGAGCCCTAGACAGGGAAGTAGTTACACTACAACCGCAAGTAGAAAAGCAGACTATTGGGCCCATCAGCTGATGGCTTTGTCATCAGAATGCCAAGCAATTAGCATGATTGATTTTTGTTGGTGGTGGTGCTAGCTATCCCAACATTGGCTACATCGGCTTCAATGCCGTAGCATCATGAACAAAGCCAGGCTGCCTTTTAACTAAGTAGTGAAGGAAGAATGAGGTCACTTTTCAACATAAATTCTGGGTTCACATTAAGAAGTATCGATGACTGTTATTAGCATTTTAGCAGGACAGGTCACTGCTTTTTTTTTTTTTTTTTTTAATAAGGTCCAATGGATTATCACAGTAGGAAAGGATTGCTGAAAGACTTGGAAAGAAGAATGACTTCACCATAGCAAACATTTTCATCTATATATATTTTGTTCTTTTAACATCTGCTCATTTTATTTTCCAAAGGAATGCCGTGTCTATAGCATTTAAGACCAAATAAAACCTTTCAGTAAATGAAACAAGGCAGGACAGGTGGCAGCTTAGAGAACCGAACGTCAAATAAACCAAGAGATGTTCTGCAGAAGGCGTTTTTAATTCATAGATCAAGACCAAAAAACTATCCTAAATGTCTCCAAGGTTCATTAATTAAGATCCCATTTGGCTGCATTGGAGTCATTAGCCTCAGATATAGAATGTATCAGACCCTGTAAATTCTCAGGGGTCTAGATTTGTGTCTCAGCTCCATGGGCAACACACTTAGCCACTTAGTTTATTGCTCTTAAAAAACACCCCCAAGGGTTGTTGAAATGCTGAAAAGCTTTCACAGCTGGTATTGGTTTGACAATTACCTCCTTGCAGGCTGTTTAGCTATTTGCAATGTTTTTGGCATAAATGTTTTTGGAGGATGCTTTTAGCCACTTCGAGGCTAAAATATATAGCAAACATAAGTTCCTACATCTGTTTTCTTGGCTGGATTGAAACTCAAAAAATTCAGAGCTGGAGACCAATTTGTTGACTACCTGAGTCAGCCTCCAAAGTTTACAGATGAGGAACGTGTGTCTCAGAAGGGTTCCATGATTTACAATAGTTGTGTGGCTACGAGTTTGGGGTTTGAAGTCAGGTTGAAGTGGGTTTGAATTTCTAGCTCTGCTCTTTCTTGGTTGGGTGGCCTTGAGAAAATTATAGAGGCTCTTTACAAGGCTTACTTGTAAAGTGGGGATAGAAGTAACACTGGCTCATAGGACCATTGAAATAATTCATTGAAAATGACTGGCACTGTGCCTAGCATATAGTAAGTGCTCAATCAAATCCGAGCTCTTATTAGTGCCAATAGGCACAGAAACCTATCCCACAGACACCAATCCCAGCCTGGCCTCCTAGCTCTGACCCCAAGACTCCTTTCCACCGCCCGTCCTCCCAGAGATACTAGATTGTAATTGGAGAGTTAAAAGACTGCAAAAGAATATTTCAAATGGTCAAGGAAAAAAACACCTACAGGTGCTATAACGACTCCAGCAAAATGTTTCTGGATTTATTGCCACTGGTCACACGTTTGGGGTGAAGGAAATGTAGATTGTTCTTGAAACATCCAGATAGTCATTTGGAGAATTAAAGTTACTCTAGATATCCAAAGAAATTTGCCTGTTATGATCCAGTAACCAGGTGCAAATCTGTTTATATCATTCTCCCATAACTAAAGAGCCAAACTCAACCCAGCCTTGACAAAGACAAGAAAAAGTAAAATGACTTTATGTGTTCATTTTCAGTGTCCTGAGTTCTGAGAACAGGATATAAATTATAAAACTGCTTTAGGCTGAGCCTATATTTATCTCAAAAGGTAAAATGGTTAATGCTGGCTTGGATATTCAAATTGCTTTTAACACTGTAACCCCCCGGGGGCACATAAAATATCTGTGCCCAGCTCAATGCATTTCATAGTGTAAAACTCCAAGAAGCAACAAATGAGAAGTTACAGAACAGAATGACCGCCTCTGTCATTAGAGTTCCAGCAGAACAATTTATACACATTTTTAAAATAAATGTTTCAAATGTAATTACAAATGATTGCTCAAGCGCTCTTCCTATTGTTCTGCTCCTGCCTCCAGACAACTGAAATCCTATTATTGCACAAGTGATTTCATTAGGTACATGGCCCAGGGGCAGTACATTAAGGAAAGATCATCAGCAAATTAATTTACAAACACTTTGAGAGAACACACAATAATAAAAGAACAAGCCCTGTCATGGCAATCCATTCTTTGTCTGAGATTGAAAAGCCTGAGAGAGGGTGAAGAAGTGATGGGTTTAACGTATCTTCATTTGAGTAACGTTTCTATTCTCTTCCCCACAACACTTTAATCAAGAAACTATAAAAACTGAGCTGAGATCCTCCAATTAGATATGGGCATCTGTAGCCCTAGATAACAGAAGAGTCTGATCAATGGGGAGAAGAAGGTGGGGTCTAGTCTCAGATGAACAACTGACTTGTGTGGTGGACAAATCATGGGCCTCAATTTCCAGTCTCTCACTGATTTCCCTTTGCATGGTGCTAGCCTGGCATGAGCCTTAAAAAGTACATGTCTTTATCTGACTAAATAATGCTTTGCTAGTCTCAAAGCTTGCAGACATCCTTCCTCAAGGGCCACTTTTGTTTAGAAAGAGCTATCCCATCTGTCACTGTTAGCTGCACTCTTCAATCTTGTTACAAGTCTTAAAATACTTCAACAGGATTTTCTAGTGCTGTTCCATAGCACTAGTTCAAATCCCAGCTCTACAATTTATGTGCTTAGTGACTCTGGGCAAAGGATTTAACCTCAAAGAGCCTGAGTTCCCTCATCAATTAAATGGCAGAACAATATCAAAGTCATTGGGTTGTATGTAAATGAACTGAGATAATGTTTTAAAAGCACTTACTCAGTGCCTGTCACATTTCCACATATTTTCTACTCTACAATAAAGGTTAGGTGTTGTGAGTGTAGTGATTTCATTTTTGAAATCATAGATATGTGTCCTATTAAGCAGCACTGTGTTTGTTATAGCAGGACATCTGTCCTCTCTTTTGTGGTAAGCGCAGGAGCATGAAACATCCACAAGTGTGCTCAAGAAGGTAGACGGAAGCAACATTCGAGGCCATAAAGCTGCTCCTTCTGTAGACTTTTAGCTTTGTGATAGCAAGATTCCATCAATTTTATCCCTCAAACCCCCTTGCCTGGCACCCTTCTAGATAACATACTCTATGGAACAGAACTCAGTGCCAGTTTTTAGCTCCATATCAATGGAACAATCTGTTTCTTCAGATTTATCATCCACTCCAAGCAAAAGATTAACTCTGCTGGCAGTTCAGAATTACCAACAAGTTGTAGCTCCTGGAAAAGTTTCTTGGGAACTTCCAGGGATACTGACAGGAAAGGAGGTAGAAGAGTTTCCCAAGACCAGCAGCATTGTCTGGAACTGGATTCCATGTCCCTCAGGATAGCCCCAAGCATAGGCATGGAATATTAAATAAAATAACACCCTTCCACAGCCTTCCTATCTTGTTCCACTGCTGATGACCTCTGAACAAAAGAGAACATTATTAAATGGGATATGACCAGCCATGTAATCATGAAGTTACCTTAGTTGCTGCACCAAAGCCTAAATCCTGCCATGATCTGGTCCTATTAATGATGGAGACCAAGTGCAGTAAGTTTCATGGGTAAACGTTGTGCTTTACCTCCCTTCAGAAGTGCATTCCTTGTTTTGAAGGATGATACTCCCTTTCACTACACCTTTCACCTTGGAAAGTGGAAATGAATCAGAAAGAAAATTGGCAAAGCAATCATATTGCTAGGTACAGGTTCCAAGAAATATCTTACCGATAATGTCTAGGGAGATGTTATAACTTCCTTAGATATTCAGGTTTGTTGCTCAGAGAGGAAGGTTTTTCAATCCCTCGTAAGTGGACCACAGAGATCTTTTGAAAAATACCTCCTCTTTATCACCCTCATTGTCTTCCACTTTGACTACCACCAGGTTTGGGTGTATTGCCAAAAACATTTAGCCTGGTATCCCAGAAGGGTTGTAGAAAAACATGAGATGGGCTAATAATTAACTTTACTCAGTAAGAATATAGGAGACTTTGCCCTGGAGTTGGGTGATTCTCTGCCCTAACTTATTGGCCTGATTTGTGTCACCACCCAGAGTGGCTCTAGTTCTGTAATGTCCTTCATTCGCAGGGTTCCTTTCTTCTAAAGACTATCAGTGCTTCATTAAATTGCATTGTGCTCAACTCAAACACTCCTCTTCATGTAATAGCTGGTTTAATCCCCCACCGCAGATATGGAGAAATGAGCCAGAGAGCAGTAAATAAGCAGCACATGCAAACAGAATTAAGACTCTAGGCTCTTGAGTTGTGATTCTCTTTGCAATATCCCCAACTTTTCTTGATGTTTGTAACACATGCTCCCTTTTAATAATCATTTAAAAAATAACACATACCCCAGTACACCACCACAGAGGGGATTGCCTTCAAACCTGTCCCTCCTCCCCTTCTAAGCATCACTGATGTTTAGGAGACTTTTGTATCTCTACCCGCCAAGAAGCCTTTTTGTTGCTCTTTATAATATGAAAAAAAGCTTTAAAAATTCTAACTATAAAGCTATATTATAACACTGAACATAACACTAGCAAGCCCTCAGTGCTTTTTATTAATGTCCCCTTACTCGCCCCACTGAAAAATACTGCAGTAAACTAGATGGCTCTGTTATTAGCCTGTTAACATAAAAGTAATTGGGAAAATTTTTACAAATAATTATGTTTGACTAAAAAGGGAAACATTAAAGTAATGTATTGACACTAGTTAAACAACTTATTAGAAAGGTGGGGGCATGGAGGGGCGGCCGTTGACAAGGATCAGTTCCTCCCCAAAATGGCAGGTGTACTTCTTCCTCAGTTTTAGTGGTGAACGTCTATGGTCAATTTACTCCTTTGCTTCTGAAATCATTATTTTATTTACCTTTCTGTAGGTTTCTGAAGCATATTGCTTTGACAAATAGAGCAATCTGAACTGGTTATGCCTCAGCTTTAGAGCTATTGTAAGGGTGTCGGTGTTTTGACAGCTAAAGCTAGCTGGCAGGAATCCTCAGTTGAAGAGCCCAGGGCTTGACATCTTGATCAAACCTTTCAACATTTCTCCATGTTTCAAAGCATCTTCTAAATCCCAGGAAAGCAACACGACATAAAATTAAACACGGAATGTTCATAGACACATAAACACTTCCAAATAGAATATATAAGGAAAAACTGAAATTAGAACTTGGTTTCAGTTTTAACCTGCTTGATCTCAGCCTTATGTAAGCCTTATAGCCCCAACTACAGCCCTCTTTATAACTCGTGGTATGTATGAGCACAGCTGGGATTCCCATTGACAAGAGCGACTAGATCCTTAACTACAAACTGGTGGAATTTTTTTTCACACTCTTCCTTAGGATCCATCAATGTCTCTAGACATAAATGCTTATTTTATAATGATACCATTTGATTTATTCTTATTTATTTAAAGCTAACTGCCACGATAACATTTTCTGATGAATGACTTGAAACAGATATGTTCATCAAAATTGCACAGTGTACATTCTACACATTATACATTCATGATAGAATCAAAATTAAAATTTAAGAACTCTTTTCACTTGACCTTCTTGATTGCACTAGTGGTCTCAATGAAAGGGCAGACCTGTTCGTGTAAATTAAAGGGCACTGAATGATTTCAAACTCCTATGCATATTACATAAGAGATAGGGTGTGTATAAATTACTAATGCATAAGACTAATGCATATACATGAACCAATACCTGTGGCTGCTTTATTCAAACTTTCCTCAGATTGATAGCATGATTAAAACTCTACATACCTCTCATGGCAGATGACAATCAATCTTATTTGTCTCCTTGGATTTATTTCTTATCATAAAATATACTAGTTATAATGGAGGAAGAAAAAAGGGGTGGTGGTACTTAAGGCTAATGATGGCTAAAATGGTCATCTTTAATGCTTAAAATTATCAAACTGAACATATTTCAATAAGGGACTATGGAGACTGGTACTTTTAGAGTCTCATGATAATCGTAAACACTATACAACTAGACCAAGTAAATTTTCAAATAGGTTTCTAAATAAAATGGTTCAACTATTTGTTTTTACAAAGAGAGGTAAAGTCAGGGAAGAAATGCAGCAGGCTCTACTTTCATGAATTTGATAGCAATTTGCTAGGCTGCTTGCCTACAGGAACTGCACATGGATAGCTCAGTACATGTGAAAGTTAAACAGCACTGGGGTGCTGAGCATTCATTAAACGACTGTATTCTGTCTTGAAAATTTGGTTTGGTTTAAAATGCTTAACACTCATGAGTTTCTATCATTATGGCCTTAACGCAAATGAAATTTTTAAAAAGCACCACAATCTCCTTTTGCAACTTGGAGAGTTCTCTTCATTTCCTTCATTCAGACATGCAGCAGTTTGCCCATAGCACTTCCGCTTGACATGCTCCTCAAGGCAGGCTACCTAATTTGGCCCAGTCTATTCACATGGGTCTTAGAGAGGAAAATCTGCCAGCCCACAAATGTTCTTTCTACAGAAAACCTCTATTGACTTCTACCCAGCAACCATCTATATAAACAACCCCTTATATTGATCTTGTAAGTTATGGTAATGCTACATTAGCATTTATTTCTCTGGATACATATTTAAACAGTAATTTCTTTTAAGCTAGTGATTACCTGGTAAAGCGGAATCAATCTGAAAAGTGTATTTCTAGGACAGCTTCAGAAAATCTGGTGAGAGTTCCCCTTTGCACAGCGAGCATTTCTCACAGCCTTAGGCTCATGAATGGCTACCTGAGATTTTGAAACACGGAGACAGGTGCAAATAACATCGGAAGAGTCAGGACTGTGCTGACTTGAACTGGTTATCAAGTCAGGAGAACGCATGCAGTAGGAGGACCCTATCAAAGATGTTCGAGGTGGGGCTCTTCTGGACCAGACAGATAAATAGATAAACCTTCAAGCACACACAATTACTTTAGTGTTCTCCAGATTGAATTTTAAACATAAGGAATCTTAACTATCCTAAGAAATTTGGAAATAAGTGAATAACTGATTTCACCAATTATTTACTGGGAGATTATTTTGGGGAGATCATCAGCAGGTTGATTTAAAAAAATCAGAGTCAGAGATACTTAATTTGTTTTTAAATGCCAGATTTTGTATAATTTCAAGAAATATTCTTTCTAAAGTAACAATCCAGCAGTTAACTCAAAACAGTAACTCAATAATTCTCTGTAAGACACACTACTTCTCACAGGATTTGAAACAGCCAAATGGTACTTTTTCTTTGAAGATAGTTTTTCTTTAAAGGGCCATGCTGAACTGCACCTTTTCTACATGGATGTATGCTTACAGATCTCATCATCTTCTATATTTAGAGAGATGAGCTTTCCAAAGGAAGATAGGCAGCCAATGAGGAGGATCCCATCAAAAGAGAGGTGAGTTACTATGGTTACTTTTCAGGAGATTGAGTAACAGTGAACCGCTGCTCCCGGCCAAATGGACCCTTTCCAGAGCAGGACCTAAAAAGATTGTTGCTCCCCATACGTGTTGATTCAATTAGTCCAGACTATACGATGTCATTTTAGCCTTAACCACAGGCTTTCCATGGTGCTTACTGCTTCCAGCTCTCCTAGCCACACACGGGCAGCGAAGTCAAAGGAAAAACACGGAGGGCTGAAAACTTGCGAACACAAACCTAGTAACGATGGGCAGGGGAATCCTTGAGAACCAATTTCATTATTAAAAAAAAAAAAAAAATGAAATCAGGTTATTCGGGACCACCACCTGGCCGCTTTTCAATCACTGAGGGCGGAGTAGGATCCCAGAACAGTCCCTATCCTCACCCTCAATGAAACGGGTCTTTTCTGAGCCTCAGGGGAAGGCACATTGCTGGATGAATCCAGACATACCTTGCGAGCTGGGTCCACTGACCAGGAGATCGGCGCATGCACCTGTTTCGTAGAGGCGCGGGGCTCCGTGCTCCCTCCCGCTTTTGCGGAGCTGTCACTCTTCAGCGGGGCGCTGACAGCGGCGGCGGCAGCGCGACAGCGACAGCGGCAGCAGCGGCAACTGCAGCTCGGCGGGCAGCCCTGGCTCCTGCAGGTCGGTCCCTCCAGTCTCTGAAGCGCCTCTCGCTCCGGGTTCGGAACGCGAGGCGGGCGCGCAGCTGTTCTCCGCTCGCATTGGACCAGAGGGAGCAGATGTTACCCGGTTGCTAGGAGCGTTGCTAGGAGGCGATGACGCCCCTCCACAGCTCGGGAGCAACTTTCCTGTAGGTCGGGTGCGCTGGCGGGGGCTGCTGGGAGCTAGGTTTGAGAACTGGAACGAAGAGGGGCAGCGAACAAAGAGCCCCAAACAGGGGGGGTCCTTTTCTCGCCGAAGTTGGGTCCTGGAGAGCTGGGGAGCTGCGGGTGGGCGAGGGCCGCCAACTCCGTGCCCGGGCCTTCGGGCCCTGCTCCCGTGGACCTGGGCAGGTGACGGGGGCCACCCCCCGCCCCGCCGCCGTCGCCCCAGTCAGGGTCACTCGCTGCAGGCCGGCCGTAGCTGGGTGTCCCCTGGGGTGATAGGGTTTGGGAATGGGAGTGGGATGGCACTTTCAGCGACTGAGGAAGCGGCAGAACTTGGTCAGTGCGTTTTAAACACGGAGACCCACTGGGATGCTCTGTGCCTTGGGGCAGGACCCTGGCCATGGGAGAGATGGAGGAGTGTGTGTGTGACCTGGGGTGAGGCTTGTGGGATGAGGACTACAGGAACTTCCGCCTTCTGGGACTCTCCTCCCCAGTGTGTTCCTGTTTGTGTCTTCAGGTTTTCACAGTTGATAGATTTTGAAGCGGGAAGAACTAATCCATGAAAATCAGACCAGAGTCTCATCCTGTTACTGGGTATGGCTGCCAATATGGTGCCAAAGATTTCAGAAAAAAATGACCCGGTGGGCTCAAATACTGCCTTTATGGAGTGAGGAAGTCTTCATTTTGATCCAATGGCTAATTAAAACCTCAGGCTAATATGTAAGCTTCTTTAAACTAAAAATATACAAAACAGAAGGTTCTTTTCACAAAGGAAACTGGAGAAGGTATGCCTGTTTCAGTCAATTATACTTTAGTTTAAATTTACCCAAAGGATTGATTGTATTGTTTCTGATATCTCACTCAAGGCATGCTTTTTTTTTTTTTTTAATCATTTGTCATTGTTCAACGGGGTTGTCATTCTTGGAGGGGAGGGATGATGAGAAGGTCAAAGTGGACAAATCCGGGTAGCCAGTGAGCCAAATTAAAGAAAGATAAAATGACAAACCTAGCAGAAGAGGATTGTCCAAAGCAGAGAGGGAATCCCTCAGAGAGGGAATCTCATTGAAGACTGATATACACCACTTCCGTTGTTCCCTCTAGGGTCAGGCCAGGGCCAGAAAGGAAGAGAGCACCACTGGGAATCAATTAAAAAGAAAAGTTGCTGTCTTCGGAGCCAGGGCAGGGCTGCCATGCAGTGTCATGTTGACTCCTGCAAAGGCAGACATTTTTGCAAGGCTGAGGGACCACACAAAGTAGCCCTACAAATCTCATTGGCCGCTGCTTCCTCAGGCACCCAGTACCAACCTCACACCTGTGACCAAACTTGGAGTTAACAATCTGTTAGCCTAAAGATGTAAAAAGCCGATAACCTTGTGTTAACAATGAACTTGATTACAGGAATCCTTTAGCAATGTATATCAAATCATCACAGGTACACTTGAAATATCTTAAGATTTTATTTGTCAATTATACCTCAAGGGTGGTCCAGTCATGCTAGCTTTTCTTTTCCTTGAATGGGGAAGGTTCTCGCTTGCCTCAGGTATTTTGTACAGGCTCTCTTCTTCCTTAACGTGCCTCCCTTTTACCTGGCTTACTCCTACTCAGCTTTCATGTCACAGCTTAAATACCTCTTCCTCATAGTGGCTTTCCCTCACAGCTTCCCACTGGCTAGGTTAGCCTCCTAATTACATTCCCAAATCATCCTACTGGTCCCATTTATCAATCGTCATCACACCAGGTTTTCAGCTAGTTGCACCTTGTTAACACTGTGTTTCCGGTACTGGGCACACAGGGCCTAGGACATCAAGGGTGATCATGAGCACTTGTGGATGGAAGGAGCCACCCTGCCTGGCTCAAGGTCCCTTGTTTTTACCTTAGCTATGTAGCTCTAAGTTCCTGAACTTACACAAGCCATGAGGGCAGTCACTGGTTGCTGTCCTTTCAATTAAGTAAAGGAAAGGGGCAAAGCCCGTCATACAGAAAATTGTCTTCTGCCCTTTATGAGACATGTTGATAGAAAAAATTCTTTTTCTTCTTAAAGCATCTTATAAAGGTCTCTACCTGGATTTTACTGGCATTGAGAAATTACCTCAGAATTTTTTTATATATTTTCCTAATCGTGTTCTCTCTGGGTCCTTCAAAGTAAGTGTGATCTGAACTGATCTGTTTCATCTTTCCTTAAAATACTCCTCTATCTCAGGTTAAAAGTAGCCTCCATCATCACACGCTGTAGCTCTATGGAGCAAAAAATTAAAAGTTAAAAAAAAAACAAAAAACCTCTTTGGAGAGCAGCTAGCTAACTTGACCGATATGGACAGCACTTCTAGTATAGTTGATCAGAAGAGACCAGGAAACCTCCTTCTCTGTTGTCAGTATAACTCACCAAATAATTGCCAGATCCCTTCTTCACCGGGGACTCCCTCATGAAAAATAACAGCTGTCGGAAGACATGATGGAAAGGTCAGAGTTATCTCAAGGTCACGGAATGGCTTGGTAGCAAAGCCAGAACTAGAGCACAGGTATGAACTTAATCCTTACTGGACTACTTATGTCTGCAGATACAATTTTATAAATTCCTCAATTCCCCAGGCAAGTGATCAGAGCACATCTTCCACTAAATATTTTGGATTTTAAAATTAAATATTTAAATACCGTACAGTCCACCTTAGAATCCATCCAAATTGTTATCTTCTCGCCTCAAGACAACCCTTGAATCTTGTCCCTCATTGAGACGACCACAGATGTAATGCGAATCCGTCTCCTGCTCCTTATCTGTTTGCTAAAAACAATGAGATGTTTCATTATGTGGTAGAATGCACATTAAAATTCATCAGAGCTCCAAATTGTCACCCAAGCTTCCTCTTGAGCCATGTCTCTGAGTCTCCCTGGAGAACCCCAGGGCAACTGTAAAGAGACTATGGAGTTTGCAAGACATATAATGTGATTTGATTCATCAATAAAAGGTTACTCAAGATTTTTTTTTTAATTATTACAAAAGACTTTAAGAGCCATAGTCATGGATAACCATCTCAATTATTTTAACATTTAAAGATGGGTAAATCTCTGTTGAAGGAATGTCAGAAATAGCAATCGTTTGTCAAGTTTTTGGTTCTGCAGATGATTTACTTTAAAACTATTCCCTCTGCAATATTCTGTTTCTGCTCACAATTTCATATGACTTGCTTTGGTGTTTTCAGCAGGTTACATATGAATGTAGTGCACATACCCATGTAGAAATGTCTCACCATACTCAGGGCCGTCAGCTCTGAGTGAGCAATTAAAATCCTCAGTCAGCCCATAATGTTCCAGTTCCACCATGGGTTAGGAAAAACTGAAGCAACAAATGAGCCTACAGTTTGCCAGTTTTCCTTAAATAATTGCCACTCCTACATTTGAAATAAGACAGTTTTTGTAAAAAGGAAAAAAAAATGTGTGTGCTCCTGTGTAGAAGCTTCTCACCAAATGAATTCATTTTCCTGTACATACAAATAAACTACAATCCCCAGCCTTCTCAAATATAAGTGGAGCCATGTGACTCATTCTGACCAAAGGAGTTTATTTTTTTTTAATAATTTATTATGTTATGTTAGTCACCATACAATACATCATTAGTTTTTGATGTGGTGATCCATGATCCATTGTTTGCGTATAATACCCAGTGCTCCATTCAATACGTTCCCTCCTTAATACCCATCACCAGGCTAACCCATCCTCCCACTGCCCCTCCCCTCTAAATAACCCTCAGTTTGTTTCTCGGAGTCCATAGACTCTCATGGTTCATCTCTCCCTCCAACTCCCCCCCCTCATTTTTCCCTTCCTTCTCCTAATGTCCTCCATGCTATTCCTTATGTTCCACCAATAAGTGAAACCATATGATAATTGACTTTCTCTGCTTGACTTATTTCACTTAGCATAATCTCCTCCAGTCCCATCCATGTTGATGCAAATGTTGGGTATTCATCCTTTCTGATGGCTGAGTAATATCCCCTTGTATATATGAACCACATCTTCTTTATCCATTCGTCTGTTGAAGGGCATCTCGGCTCTTTCCACAGTTTGGCTATTGTGGACATTGCTGCTATGAACATTGGGGTGCATATGGCCCTTCTTTTCACTACATCTGTATCTTTGGGGTAAATACCCAGTAGTGCAATTGCTGGGTCATAGGGTAGCTCTATTTTTAACTTTTTGATGAACCTCCACACTGTTTTCCAAAGTGGCTGTACCAACTTGCATTCCCACCAACAGTGTAAGAGGGTTCCCCTTTCTCTACAACCTCTCCAACACTTGCTGTTTACAGAAGTGGTGATCACTGCCTCTAACCCTGGTCCCTTAACTGTACGTTTGATTCTCCTGCTTTTTCTTCCTCCACCATTTGCATGGCCACATATTCCTTCAGAGGCCCTAAGAACTCTGGGATGGCCCTCAGTCCCTAAGATGCTGCTAAGAAAGAAAGCTGCATGGGCAAAAAAACATCTTAGTGAGAAATAAACCTATCCTATGCAGACTCACTGACACTTAGGGTTGTTTATTATAACAAGTAGCATTAATTACTTCAACTAATACAATTTGCAAAAATGGTAAAAATAGATTTTCCCTGAAACATCTAGAGACTTTGTTTGTTTGTTTGTTTGTGGGATGTCAGTGACGTTTTTACTGTTATGGAGGTCTGACCATAATAGCCCTGCCCTTGTATTTCTAGCTCGCTGCATCAGAACCTTGTAAGCCTGTTCACACTGAGTATACACAGAGGGGCCAGGACTCCAGACAAAAGCCTCTCTGATGAACAATTACCTACCCTCTTGTACAGGAATACCTATATTTTGCCTTCTCAGAATCCTCTTCAGATGCAATTTAGTTATTTCAGGTGATCTTTATGTATATATAGCTCCTTACTTACCCAATATTCGCCACTCTAACATTTGAGTTGAACTATGTTGATTCATGCATGTGTTCAACATAAAAGCCTCGAGCATCCTAAAACCAAAGTAAATGATAGGGGTCATAAATGTAACACTCATCGTTCTAATATATATGTCTGCAGTTGGCATGGTTTTGGAGTTAATGGTCTCTGTATATACTAAATTAAGCAATATCATTCAGACCCATAAAATTTGCATGTTGATGCTGCAAAACTGTATCTTTTTTTAGCATAAAAAATTTCACACGTATACATATAAGCCATCTGCTTAAACTTTATTGATAAAACCAGTAGCAGCAGTTTTACAAAATTAGAATGATTTTCAGTTTTGAACTATCGTGAGTTCAGTTGCAGCAGACATTTTGTACAAACTGGGACTAATACTTCTTCTATGTTTCTGCTTTAAACAAAAAGCAACTTGAATGTATCCTCATGCATTTAAATATCTAATACAGAAATAGTTTTTAGGCTGCATAAAATATGCTTCCAACATCACTGTGAAGACAGAACATCTGCTTGAAGCATTATTTGTACAAGAGAAACAGTAATTCTTCTAATCACAAACCTATTCTCTAGCACAGGTAAACAATTTTATATTTTCTAACATATTTTCAAGGGTGTTTCTATCCCGAGAGTACGGACATTATTAAAAATTTCCCTGGCTTGCCCAGTTCGAACACAAGATGTAACAGTACAGCGGTCATACATTAAAACCACTGTTACGAAATCTTGAACATTATAAAAGGTAGACAGGTATTCTAGTTTTTAAGGTTAACAAAAAAATTTCCAAACCTCTTCCTATACACTAATTATTCATCAATAGAAGTAATTTTAGAAATGGGTGGATGATTACATTCTATGGCTGTTTGTTTTGGTAACGGCTGGAGATACATTCATGCTTCGTAAATAGAAGACACTGTAAGTCAGTAAGTCACACTGTGAGGAACACAGGGACACCTACATGGAATGTTCTGAAGATTTCAGGAGTTTCTCACATGAGAGTTCAACCCCTTGGAGGAGAAAATACTTTTTGTTTCTCTCTTGAACTTCTGGACCACCCAGGGATTGCTTCTCTGCTGGAAAACTCTGGAGGAGAAAATCTGACAGCAGTCAGATCTAGAAATGCCCATGAAGTGATGGGACAGGTTTGGAGCAGCTCCTACCGTACACTAACAAGTCTGCCCTGGAACAATGAATTTGCCCACGGAAGCCTTCTTGTGACTTAGAAATCTAAAGGAAGACCAGATTTTAAGCCACGTTATGCTAAATTGTCCCCGCAAGCGAAATCCATAAAGTCTTGACCACCATTCACAACCACCAAAAATTCAGGACCCTCAATTCCATATAACAAATTGAAGTAAACACAAGATAGAAAAGGTACAGGCTAACAATATTAATACATCCCCAGCATCCAGCTGTGAGTTGAACAGAAATACAAAGTACACTCCCTGCTGAGAACAGTGTGCTCTATGTAGGGTAAAATCTTCCCAAAATAGTTACATATGTTCAAAATGAATGAATCATTCACATTTACTTTTTTTTGCATGCAAGTTCTTCAAGGACACCCATCAAAAGTTGGGATTTAAAGGAAAACCAATAAAATATTTTAAAACAACAGAGTTGCACACAGTATGCATATGGTGAAACATAAATGTGTGAATGTGAACAACTGTTTTGGATGCCATATGAAGACCAAAAAAAAAATCGAGAGTCAGATTTATCTTGCACTGTGAACACCAAATATTGCTATGAAATCTTGGATGTACCTTGAAAAAAATTTTTTTTAAATCCTTACTTTTTTTTCCCTGGGAGATGATAAATGGTATTTAGGAAGAAAATGATTATGTGGGTGAGGAAAGTCACTTGGGAGGGGAAAGCTGGAGAAGTCTAATTCTCCAAGAGAAATATAATAACGTAGATTGAAGGACTTTTTTTGGTGGTGGAAGCATCTTTCCAAATACTGTATTCAAATTCCGTTTTGTGAAAAAAAAAAAAATGCTATCCAACTTAATACTTTCCCTGTACTCAAAGTTAAATTGTTCTAAAGAAGAAAGGTCTGTGTTCAACTCAAAGATTGGCAAGCCTGCCGAAAAGATGGATTTGCAATTTGTTCTGTGGTCAGCGTGTCTGAACAAAAGAATTCGAGCCTAATACTTTATTTCTAGCTTCTCAGAGGCAGAACAGCTGAAGACCGTTCCGACTGTAACTTTTAGTCAAATAACTGACACTCTATGAATATAGCTCGATGATTGGCAGAGATCTAGAAGTGTCAACTACTTTGATATATTAACATAAAAAAAGAATTGATTTAACCTTAAAATAAAAAATAAGAAAATATCTCACAGCCTTCAAAACCTCTCAACTCTGCAAAGTGTATTTCCATCTATTACCTGATCACGCCTGTGGCCCTCGTCTGTAGTGGGGACTCTGAGTGTTTGTGATATTAATGAAGGAATGAATGAATCTCATTCTTATCACAACGTGGTGAAAACAAGTAAAAAGAGTATTACTATTCCCGGCTGACAGATGCAAAATTGAAGGCTTAGAGAACTTGTGACTTGACATTCATTTTAGAGCTCATTAAGGGAAGACTTGGTATAGAACATAGGCCTCGTTAATTTTAATCTAATCCAATATTCTTTCCGCAACCACTTTCATCTCCACAACAATGCCTGGTTCCACAGGTTGTTGCAGCTACAAAGCAAAGGGCAGTCAGTGCACATGAAAATGTCAGAATGTTTCCTAGATATTGATCATCAGTCAGGTCTTCCCATTCACCCAGTGTGATTATCAGTGTTATCATTCCATTATTCACCACTTGTCCATTCAGCCTATACATTTTCATGGGTCATCCTTCTATCCATAATGCAGAGCTCCTGCATGATCCAGATGCTTACGTACCACTTGCAGCTAATTTACACAATTGACTATGACGGTACAATCACGAAGCTTCCTTTCTCTTGGCAGCAGTGGCAAATGTAAAGTCATATACACTAGTAACAGAAGGTGGTTTTCTGTCATGAATCAGTAATAATGTAATTAGCACTTTTTATCAATGTATATTTAAATCAGTGCTCAACAACAGAGAATACCACAGAGTCGCTAAATTTGGGGATCGTATCCTCATTGCCTTCAGAACTTTCTCTGCTTAGATGCCAATTGTGAAATTACATAATGTTTTCCATGAATCTTCTCCTCAAAGGTGAATCAAGCCTAATACCACATAGGTGAGATTCATGCCAGATTAGAAATTGCTACGTGTCAGTGGATGCATCATACGGATTAATCCATCCAGTTTTCTTGAGAACATGCACATTAACAAAATGTACAATAGCAATCAGAACTAAAAAGTAAATAATGAACAGACCAGTACCTCCAGACAATGGGATATTATTATTCAGCGCTAAAAAGAAATGAACTATGAAGCCGTGAAAAGACAGGAAGGAAACTTAAATGCATATCACTACATGAAAGCAGCCAATCTAAAAAGACTGCATACTGTATGAGTCCAACCATATGACATTCTGGAAAAAGCAAAGCTAAGGAGACAGTAAAATGATCACTGGTTGCCAAAAGTTAGGGAGGAGGGATGAATAGGCAGAGCACAGAAAAATTTTAAGGTAATGGAACACCAGGAGTGAACCCTAATGTAAAATATGGAATTTGGTGGTAATGATGTGCCACTGTAGGCTCGTCACAGTAACAGATGTACCCACTCCTGTGGGGTATGCCCATCGCGGGGGACACTGGGCAGGGATGGGGCAGAGTGTGCACAGGAACTCTGGTTTCCACTCAAGTTTGCTATAAACCTAAAATTGCTCAAAAAAAGCTTATTAACTTTTTTAAAAAGCAAGTAGATCACAAAGACCATTATGCTTTTTTCCATGGAAATAGAGGTCAGACCTTATTTCAAAATATTATTATAGAAATGTCTTGGTCACACCCAAGTATACAAATACTAACTTCTTATTCACAAACTTAAAATAATAGAATCTGTAATGAAATTAAAATTTTAAATTCTGGAAAACATTTTGTATTTCATAGTAACAAACTTTAAGTTACACCTGCCTTAGTATGGTGGCATAATAAAAGACAACAATATAATTTGGTGTAGTTGTGAATTAATAAAGATTATCACGGCCCACGGGGAAATGGCAAAATTAGTAAGCTTTGCTTAAGGTGCCAACTATAAGGGACTTGACAAACTCTTAAGAGAGAGGTGTGGCCCCAGAATGTGAACATAGTACACAGAATAGCTTCCATGGAAATACAGTCCTTTAGTGTATGTACTCCTCACCAATCAGAGTTTTTAGTGGCAGCCTTTTAATATCTTTTCCCCAAAATCAAGGTCTTCATCAAGTAAGAGATGTAAACTTTTTTATTATGGACCATCACGGGGCAACACTAAAAGACTTTCTTCAGTAAGAATTTTTAGGCCATCAAAGATTCTGACCTGGAATCATGGATTGAGACATATATAGGTAATATTTAAGGTAAGTTTCTATGATGTTAAAAATTATAAGCAATAAATCTACTGGAAAAACTCCTACTTCGTCTCCTGTTATAAAATTGAAATTAAGAGATTGTTTGAGACTGGTTCATCTGCCAAGGAAGGGACACTCCCAATGTTGACCTTTACCCATTTTATAGGGATGTCCCAAGTGTGTTTAGTGTATAATATCTAAGACAAATGTTAATCAAAAGAACCAGATCGGTAAGGAGGGATCTTTGTTTCATACCCTTACCCCTTTATCTGGCAGCTACTCTTTCCAGTTCACTCTTTCAAAAAGTAAAAGGTAGCAAAACATGGAGCTATTAAAACATGGAGCTTCTAAGAACCGTGTCACATTTGTTTGTACAGACCTAGCATTCCAGGCTCTGACCTGCTTACAGCTTTATAAAAGGTATTCAATGTTCAATTATAAAAGTGAAAAATACTAAATATCCAACTTCCATTTCAAGCTATAACTTATTTCATCACTGGAATGGAATGCTGCATTTCCTCTCTCAGATGTAAAACACATCCATTTATTTTGAAGGGAAGCATAGCCTGATAAACAGGACATTTATTTCTTAATCAGAGGCAGAGTAATAACCTCCATTTTCCTTAAATCTTCTCCTTTTCAACAGGGAGTAAAGAAGTCATTGCAGAAATACATTTGACAGAAATTAAAGGCCATAAAAGATCTTATTGTTTACCTAGCTTTAAAAAATGGAGTATTTAGAAATAAAACAATTGAACTCAAACCATTCTCCAGCCCCTAGTCCAGAGCCTGGGATAAATATACTCAGTATCTTTTGAATGAATAAATTTTGTATTAAAAAAAACAGTAAGTAGATACTTTGAGGGGAAAATGAAGTACACAAAAATAATGCATAAATATGGCGGTACCAATGGGCAGGCAGCCTTCTCACCACCCTCAAAGTAGAGTTGGTAGGTAGCATTGTTGCTCAAAGGCGTGAAGTAAAAACTCCCATGGAGACAGCTTAAGGCAGCATCAGTAAGCAAGGGAGAGCAGGTAGCAACATTCAGGGGTGGTTTATTCTAGGAATGTCCACAGGGCTCCATGACTGCTTCTGAGTTTGTTCTAGAAAGCCTCAAGCTGTTTTACAGTTTCCACAGTGGCTATAAATACAGCGGATTATTGTCTGTGTCTAGGATACTGCTTTGAGACCCAGGGGAAACAAAAACACCATAGGAGAGGAAACTCACCCAGAGCCTGCAGGCATCTCCAAAGTCACCTAAACAAAGCCCAAACAGCAACTCCCCAGAGAAGACCTTCTATGATGCAGAGAAAAATCAGTGTGGAAACAATGTCCAAAGGGGAAGAGGACAGGGCTAGAGTGTTGTTATTGTTGATTCTATTTGGAGGTTACATACAAAATATTAGACTTAGAAGGAACTTTAAAAAGGCTATCTTCCTGGCTGCCCTCTTGTTCTCCTTTAGACAGAACCCACACTCCACACAGAGATTTCTATCTTAAAAGCCTTCCAAAGATGATCCTGTGCTCTCCCTGGATGATTCCCCCTCCAGCGTGACTAAGGCCCACTCCAGGTCCCAGCTTCTTAGACGCTCTCTCCAATACGTTCAGTAAATACATCTCACCTCCTTCCAACAATAACCCATAACAAGGAACTCTGCTTTTTATGGCACATGATTGGATCAACTGAACAACTGTTGATAAACATTGTTTTTATCATGATGACTAAGTGCTTCAACTGCTTCAATGTGTAATCACACCACTCCAAAAAGTTGGAAAAAAAAAAAAAAGATTTTAAGTCCTGTACTATCCCAAATAGCCTGGTGCTACACCCAAGAAAATCCAATGAAACACATCTTGAATTAATGCAAAACAACCATCATATCCTTCTCATGTCTAAGTTAAACTCTTGTGACTTGATTTAAATGGAAGCTCTCTGTCCATGTGACCAAGAAGAGAAGGAACACATTGTCCCCTCAGTAAGAGCTCTTCACATTCTGGATAACTCTTCCTAGAAATCACTCTACAGCCTTTGAACTCCCATCTGCCCCCTTTAACTTCCCTACACGCTGAATTATTCCCAACAAAACCCCCTAAGCTAAGTGATTCTTCTCAAGTTTCCCCGTTTCTCCTTAATCAGAAATCCTAGAACCGGAGTCAGCACTGTGGCAATCTAGCAATGTTGGGAATGTAGGCTCATACTTCCCCATCCCAGAATCACATTTGGTTTAAAATGGCAAGTAGTGCATGACTGGTACTTGGCACTTGGTTACCCTAAACTTGAGGTGGTTTATTCCTGACCACTTCTGCAGATCAAATGTCCACAAAAGTTCCTCTAAATTCTCAGGAAACTCTCCTTTTTACTCATGGTCTGAACACTTGAGAGCAACTCAACGTGCGTTCTATTACATCAAGTCACTCTCTAAAACCCTCTTCAAAAAAGAGATAGTATGAACTCTAAACGAATTCCTTTCATTGTGATCTCCTAAGGGAAAGAGTGATAAATAATTGGTCCTGAAAAGAACTTTTCAGTTAAACAGTTAGATGAGTTTTGATAGCTGCATTAGGTCAGTTTTAAAAATTTGCCTGTGAAGATATAATATGGATGTATAGCATAGGCTAAAAAACTGTCCATTTTTAAATGAGTATCAGCAAATTGCCACACCATGTTTTTCCTTTTTCATACCAAAATTGAAATAGGTACTCAAGCTGTCACCTTACCAACTCTTTGGATGGGTATATGGTGCTCTGTCCAGGTCTGAATTGTAGAGAAGAGCTGAGGTTGAAGGGAGTCTTGTGTCTGATTTAGCAAGATGTGCACACAAGCACCAAGGTTTTGTATTCCCTCCAAACTAAGGGGGTGAAAGACAAAGATCTGGTTATTGTACCTCATTTGGGACTTATTAAGACTCAAAATGCCAGGCTTATCTCTTTTTACTTTACCCTGTAAGACTTCTTTTTCTTTACAAATTTAGACCAGCTTTAGGAGTCTACCTTTTTAAAAGTATATGAGAATTGTTTATAGCCTTTCTCTAATGTTGCTATTACTTCCACTAGACAGAGAAACAAATCTTAAAGGCTTTATTCTTGATTAAGTATGGTTGGGGGTGGGGGGAAATTGAATGCTTATTATATGCCAGGCTCAATGCTGTTATTGTCTTTTAAAAAACCTGATGAGGTAGGTATCACTTCCATTTTGTTGAAGAATCAGGGACACAGACTGGGTAAGTAATTTTCTTAAGGCCATACAGCTAACGGAGTTCCATCCAAAGCCAGGGGAAGACTGCAGCCTTTGCCAACTTCATTGAACTGGATGGGTCTCACTTCCCTCATCATTAAGGATTTGCTGGAATTCCACAAGTTGTGAAAAAATAATAGCTAGTTAACCTGAAATGTCTTTTGGTTTATTATTTTACTCTTCTTGAATATATGCTAGCGGGGGCTGAAGGTATCTAGCAATATTTATTCTTTAATTCTTCTATACACAAGCTCTATGATTTGTTTTTTATAGTTTTGCCTAACTTTCCTTTTTGGAACAAATTAATGATTTTTTTTAAGACAAAATACTTTTGCCATTTCAGGATTATCTATCATTTTTGTTTGTTGTGGATCAAATAGAATAGAATGTGCTCTGGTCACAGTTCCCTTAAAGAGGGGACACTGCATGGGTTTTCTGGCCCTGTTTATTATTAAGGCATGCATCTCCATTTGGTTTTATGTCATCTACAAAAAATCTTCTTCTATCACTTTTCTGATCCTAACATACTGAGTTCTCTGCTGCAACAGGATAGCCGGGCTTTTGGGAGCCCCACAGTTCAATGCTGAACCATCAGTTTCATAAACTCAGTGGCTATTGGAGGAGAACTTTCGCTTAACCTGGTGGTAGTTTCAACCTAAACGATGCGTTACTTGAAAGGAAAAGCATTTTGGTTCTCAGATAAGACCATCTAGTACAACCACGATGTAAAGCACTGAGACTGACTGAGAGGTGACAACAATTTGTAAAATCTCGCGGAAGTTCCTATGCTGCGAAGACAGAGGCTAGGTTCTCACTGCAGCTCCTCACGCTACAGAGGACATCAGTGTTCAAGCTCAGTCCATACTGTCACTGAAGAAGGAGCAGAGGGCCCAGTGCCTAAAGTGAACGACAACGCAGTGGCATACTCTCTTGGCCCCCCTTGCAGTCACAGGATTCTTTCCCGAACTTTGTACAGGTGGATGCCAAGCGTAATCCATCCGACAGCAGTGCAAGTTCTTCTACTGTTAAGGAAGGCAAGACCTCCCTCCCAGCTACGCTACATCAGCAAAAACAGGGTCCCAAACAGCTGTGCATCACACAGGGAGCCAGTGAAGGAGAGAGAAGCAAGAGCAGATGCCTGGCTGCCTGGTGAATGGCCCATTTACAAATTCAACAATAGTCAGAGGGGAGCAGGGAGCACAAGAGCCACCACCGTGATTGGTGAAACCAGCACTTCTCAACTCAGTGTAAATTAATGCCCTGAAAGAAGACACACTATAAAGCAGATTTCCATAAACCCAGTGCATCATTTACCCTCTGTAGTATTATGTCAAAAGCACTGTTTTCAGGAAAAATCACGGAAGGAACTACTCATGCAACAAATACTGTGCTTCTTCAGTTTCAAATGTCTCTGTGAGATGTTAATTATTAGCTAGACCAAATAGGCAAAAGGAGCTTTTTCCACCGTGGAACCAACTAATTATCTTTCATAACTGTTAAAAGGCAAATGTAGCTGTAAGGGCTCTAGTGAAAAGAAAAACATGCTGAGTGCATTGTGTCTAGACTTTGCCAGGCAAATAAGGGAGTTGAAATGTACAAAATCAAAAGATCTTACTAAACCAGAATTTCAAATCAATGTAAAAAAAAAATCCAGCCTCATATTTTAATGTATCTTGTCATTAGCATTTTATATTTATACAGTCAGCTTTAGACTTCTGTATATTCAAGATGTACATGCATCCTACGTGGTGAATAGCATCAACATAGTAAAATTACAAAAATTAAAAATGCTTTTCAGGCATCTCGTTCCTTAAAACGCTGCACATTCCTGTAACAGCCTCATAGGCAGGCTATTGGAAAAGAGATCACACCCACAAGGATAGCTTCACCATACCAGTAGAAAACCCTAAAAATGGGTGGGTCAAGGCAGCAGAAAACGAAGCATAGGTGATGATTTGGCACCATAAGACAAGGGATGCAGCAAAACATAGAGCAGGAAAATATAAGGGGGGAAAATCCAGGACGGTCAGTACAATATATGCAGGTTTTTTTTCAAATGTAAATTTTAAAGTGAATGCTGCTTTTATGTTACTGCATAAAGGAAAGCATAACAAGGCTGCTTCACTTCCCTTTAAACACAAGCGCGGAAAGAGAGTGAGGGATGTGAAAAGCCAATTCTCTGTGCCACTACTTAGTCAATTGCACTCAGTCCTACTCGATGACACAGCCACACTGCAAAGACCACTCAGCAGTTAATGGATATAATGTTGGAAAAGCACTTTGAGGTTTCCAAAGAAAGGTAGGGTAAAAACCCAAAGGAGCATGGTTTTATTACTTCTTCCCAATAACTGAGCAGTGTTACAGATGAAACTCCCATGACCTAAAAAGAAATTAAGATATTAATTTATTTTGCTAATTCTGATTCTTCCATATGAAATCACTTCTTTCACAAATGGGTACTTGAAATCACAGAAGAATTATCTGTGCCCTAGTCTCTTCTTGTCAGGATAACCATTACACACTGCACGGTAAGGAATAAGTATGTTCTTCAAGTGTTACAGCCTACGTCTACAATCTGTCAAATGTAGAGCTGAGGAGGAGTTCTGTGTTTCTAACTGTATACATCCATCACTAGCTCCCACTCTTCCCACAGACAGCAATAAGTCAACAATGAAACATAAAAGCTAAAAATAAGTGACTGAGCAATTGCTCAGAAGAGCTGAACATTAGGCGCGGTGTTACATGGACACACATTCCTCCCCCTCCCTTTTTTTTTTTACTGACAATTTCAGGTAATTAAAATTAAGGACTCACATATAACCAAAGGAAAATAAACATGCACTGCACAAATATGTAAAAGTCAGTCAGAGATACAATTTCATGCTTATCACCGGACAAGATGAGTGTTATGAATGGCACATGCCCAGAATGCAAGTAGTGACTAATAGACGCTGCTGCAAATGCCACGGAAAATGACAATTATAGGCACTTCAAATGCTCAAAACAAACAAACAAACAAAAAAAAAAAACAAAACAAAACTCGGTGTCATTTCACACAAGCTGAAAATATTTCTTCATTCACAGGTATCATAACATGTTCATTTCTAAGAGTCAATTAAATCAACATTTATTAAGGACACATTATATACAATTTACTATGCTCTAATGAGGGAAAATAACTGCATAAAAAAGAATAAGGTTTGCATGCAGGTGTGCATTCAAAATATATGTATGTGTATATATCATTGAATATAGAAAAAGTATAATCTAAAGGAGAATACTTGATTCAGAAAATCAACAAATCCATGACTTAAATACGGGTTTTTTGTTTTGTTTTGTTTTCTTCTCATTCTGTAAGAATTTATTAGGTGAGAAAATAGCATAAAAACCTTGAAAATTACAAGTTGGAAATCTTACATATTAAAAGGAAACAAGATGTCTTTCAACAGTGTTTTTGAACTCTGTTTTACCTTCAAAATGATTCACCTAACCAAATCTCATAGGAAACCACAATATATAAGTGAGATAAAGAAAGGTATTTAATGAACACAAATTTGTTTTATAAGTATGAGTTTATAACATTTATTTTTTAAGTAAATAAATGAGTTTTCTTCACAGAGAGAAAAATGTAAAATAGGGGATTCTGGATGACAGTTACACTCTCTTATGAGCCTTGGCATCCGATTCGTTTCTGTAGTGGGGGGGTTTTGGCACCATATTAACAAAATTCTGATTCATACACATACCTGGTTACAAATAGTGAAATTTAACAGCTCCCTTGCGATCTCAGGTTACTCTTCAAGCAAACAGAGACAGCAAGAGATGCTTCATTCCTCAGGTTGAACCCAGACTCAATGATCTATTAACACAAAATAACTCATCATCACTGTTCTCAACTGTGGTTAACTTGCCATAAAGTACACTTGACCGTGTATGTGTTTTTTTAAATTATAATATCTGAATCCAAATCAAACCTTTGAGATACCCAAAGATCCTGCCCAGAATGTCCCAGAGGTTAGTAGACTCTAATACCTATTTGTAAGCCTGTCTTTAAAACGCCTACCAGCATGTGCTGAGTTGGTATCAGTGGCCAAAACATTGGTGGCCAGGGCAGATGTCACATGCAAATGCCTGCTGGCAAAACTAAGATTCAAGCAAGGTGTGCCATCTGCAGATTTGCTGGCCTTTGGTTTCCTTCATTTCCTCCCAATGGTCTTGTTCCTCTTCTCCGCTACTGTTTTGGCCCAGAGCAATCCAACCAATCATCTCTTTACGCTTCATAGTACGCCTGTTATAAACGGAAATCATCAGTGTGACATCAGAGAGCTGAAAGAGGGCCACCTGGAAAGCAAAGGTCTCCTTGTAGACTGGATTGGGCTGACCACGTCGAATGGACGTCTTACAGCGGGACATCTCTTGACCCACAGAATCGAGAAGAAAGAGCTTTCCGTATGTATCTAAGGAAAAAAACAACAGAAATGAGAAAACATCAGAGCTTACTGTGTTGCTAGTTTTGTTGTAATATTTACATGGGATCCAAACTTTTCCTTTTTAACATACTGAGCAGCATCCTTAGGCCTGGTATTTGCAGTAGGACTAACATATTTTCCATGAATTATTAAGGAAAGGGATTATTACCTTCAATGGTTAATGTTTCATGCAGCCCACTATGGGCACCTTGCTGACGTTCATTAGAAGCTCTATACATACAGAGGTGTATACATGCATAAGCATGTGTGCAATGGTGTGTGTGGACATGCGTGGTTCTTCAGCCACATTTTATTTATGTAACAAGATAAATATATACATTTTGTTCTATGTGTATTTTTCTTTTCATAATCAAAATACTGTTTTAGGCCTAGATTAAAGAGTATCTTCTCTTCTCACTCTCCACATATTCTTTGGACCATATTATCCACTCAATGACAAGTACCAAACCTTTAACTCTGGCCTAGACTTCTCGTCCAAGCTCAAGATCCAGCTCAATACATTTTTTCCCGTGGACATCCTGCACATGTCTCACTCTTCATGTCCCCAACACTTAAAACTTGCTGCTCCAGTATTCCCCATCTCTCTGCAAACAGTAGTGTCATCCACTCAATTTATCCACATCAGGAGTCAGGACGACATTTTTGACAAGACTGGCTCCTCACTCCTAGTCGGGCCAATCAATCACCAAGTTCTGTTGAGTCCATGTCCTAAATAGCTCCCAACTCCACCCACTTCTTTCCATCCCTGAGGCCACTGAACTCCGTGCACAGCAATCTCCAGTCACTAGCCTCTCTCACTTGCATTACGGCAGGTCTCCTCACCCATCTCCCATCACCAGGCTGCCCAATCCCACAGTCAGAGGGAGCTCTGTAAAATGCAAATCTGTTTATGTCACTCTCACTAATAGACAAAGACGAAACCTTCAGTACTGCCCATTAATCTCAGGGCAAAAATGAAATTTCTTGGTATAGATGACATACTCTGATCCTTTTACCTTGCCGTTTCACTGGGCACCCCTGCTTCCTTTATATGCTGCGTTCCTTCTATACTGACCTCCCTTCATCCCTCCAACCCACCCTTCTCTTTCTCTTTCACTTCTGCACAAACTGTGCATGCTCTGAAACCACGAGTGATAACCACCTTCCCTTGGTTTCTATTCATTAGTTCAGTCTGGTTGTGGCTTTATGCAGGAATTTTTGCTGACCACTTGCTCCTGTTCCGACCAGCTCAGATTCAGATAACCCTTCCGTGGGCTCCATCAAAATCTAGCTTCAGGTTATCCCAGGACTTTGCTGCCTGCTTACTCATCTGCAAGGCTGTCAGTCTGAAGGAGGAATTGCCTGTGTACATCTGTACCCCTGGTTCCTGGCCTAGTGTCCAACACATGGTAGACATTCAATATATATTAAACATTTTGTAACGAACGTGCATGACCCTCCAGCAGGCTTGACTTCCTTTTTTCTTTTGGTCTTGGGTTTTCAAACTTGCAAAATGAAGATAAACCCCTTGGTTTTATCACCCTTGCACTGGAATGCTATAAAATGAGATTAGCCTCATACGTTTAGCAGTTTATAGAAAGGAAAAAAATTATCCAAATTTTATTAACATAATCTACTACTGCTGCTAAAATTCCTGAATAGATAATTGCAAAGAAAATTATCCCCAAAGGCAATTATATTTTATTAGAATCACTCAATTCATCAATTTCTTGACCCTCTCTTAATGACAATATTTACCACTACCTTATGTGTGTCTTAGCCTTTAAAAAAGAAAATCTAAGTGCTAGGACATTTCGCAGATTCTATCATTCTGTATATTCTGTTCAATGCAGGCTGAAAGCTGATTTGTGTTTACTGCTCACTTTCCCACCTAACGACCAGTCAGACTTTTGAAAGTGTAAATCCAGATCTCTGTAATTTACTGTTCTCTACAAGAGCATTGCAAGACGGGAAACAAATTACAACCTGCAGTTTTCTTTCTATGTTGATCTTTTTCTATTCCGGTTTGATGTGTTATTTTATTCACTTATCTGCTGAGAAACACAAGGTGTGAAATTACACTTCAGGTGTGAAAACACTTCTCTGTCTCAGAAACAGGCCTCTCCACTCTTCAAACTGCTCTTCTGAGAAAGCTGTCAGAAAACCAGCAATAGGGGAGTGAATTTGTGTTTCCACAGCTGTACAGCTCCATGATTCCTGTAGGAGAAGTTCAATACAGTCCCTGAGCCGCTCTGGCAATTCTTGCCTTGGTTTTGGCAGTGGGAATTGAGTTAATCTTGCAAACAAAAGACCTGCTCATTTCACAAAGTGCAATTTCAATCTTTACCCTGTCACAGATCCCTTTCTAATGACAAGAAAGGCCATTTACTACCAAACTGCCATCACCGAAGCTGAATGATATGCGTATGACAAAAGGGGAAAATAATCATTTGATAAACAATCCAGTCTGAGGGCACCTAACCAAAAGAAGGGAAACGTTGCTGATTGTTCCAGCTCAAAGGGAACCTTTCCTCAGCAGTGATGATGTGTTTACTTTTCAGTGTCCGGAGCCAAGGCTGTGCCCAGGAAAGTCAACCTGTGAGGAACAGTGGAGAGTACACCTGAGGTCTTTTGGGCTTCAGTGACTTATTCCAATGAGTGCCAGCCAGAATGGACGAAGAAAGGACCAAGTAAATATACAACTTCACCGAATTCTGTTTTAATTTTTTGGAATTGATAATATTTGCTACAAAACAATACCAAGCAATATTTTATCTTCTGATGAGGATTCAGGTTGCCCCTCAGTGGCTCTAGTAACTCAAAGCCATCATCAAAAGGTTGAATGGGTCATAATTCCTTGATAGTCCTCGATGCCGCTCTTCTGACCCAGCTGTGGCAGCTGCTTTACCAGTCACTGTCTCCTTCTCCATAAAGGAAGATGCCATGTGTACCAGAAAATAATTATAAGAGTACACAATCCTCAATTTATCATGGCACAAAAGTATGTCATTTGAAACTCAGAAGTCATGTTTCCAAAGAAACAGCACAATACCATAGTGGTTACTTATGGAGCTCATACAAAACACTGCCCATTTGCAGCATGATGTTCTACCAATAGTACTACGGACTCTGCCTTGGGGCAGGACTGGGGCACCATGATTGTCGGGGCAAGGGAAAGGAATTCCATCACTTAACCTCCCCTTCCCTTTTAATTTAGTAATAATTACAGGATATTTTAAACATACATAAAGAGAGTAGAGAACAATATTACACACACCCAAATATCCACCACACAGACTTGTGATATTTAACATTTGTCATATTTACTACTGACCTTTTGCTTTTTGTTTGATTTTTAGGAAACAAAATATTATAATTGAGGATCCTTGGGTATTCCTCCTTGATCCTTTTTGATTTCTTCTCTCACTAAAGGTAATTACTAGCCTGGATTTGGAGTTCATCATTTTCATTGTGTAAGTAGACATAAATAAAGATAGCCAAAATATACTTAACAGAATTTTGCACATTTAAAAGCATTTAGCATTTTACTGTAGGTATTCCTGAAACTTGCCTTTGTTCATTCCACATTAAATTTTTTATATTACCTATATTGATATATACATCTGTGATTCATTTATTTTAACTGCTGTATAGTGTTCTAAACCACAATTCACTTGTCCATTCTCTTAATTAATGGATATTTATTTATAATAACCAAGAATGGAAATGATATCACTGAACATTTTTCTATATTTTGTACTGTACCAAAATTTGATAATTTCTCCAGTATATATCTAGGAGTGGATTGCTGGCTCTTTATAAATTCTAGATACAAAATCTATGTTATATTTATTGCCAGTATCTTCTCTCTGTTCTTATCCTTTTATTTTATAGTGACTTTTATAGGATAACTGCTTTATATTTTTGTGGAGTCTGATTTATAAATGTTTTCCTTTTCAGGTTATGGGTTAAAAGAAATTCTTTTTTTTTCTTTAAAGATTTTATTTATTTATTTGAGAGAGAGTGACCATGTGCACATGAGCAGGGGAGGGGCAGAAGGAGAGGAAGAAGCCAACTCCCCGCTGAGCAGGGAGCTGGACATGGGGCTCTGGGGCTCGATCCCAGGAACCTGGGAACATGACCTGAGCAGAAGGCAGATGCTTAAATGACTGAGCCACCCAGGCACCCCTCATTAAAAGAAATTTTTTTTTAAGATTTTATTTATTCATTAGAGAGAGAGAGAGAGCACACAAGGAGGGGGAGAGGCAGAGGGAGAGGGAGAGGCAGACTCCCCGCTGAGTTGGGAGTCCTGACGTAGGGCTCGTTCCCAGGACCTGGAGATCATGATCTGAGCCGAAGGCAGATGCTTAACCATCTGAGCGACCCAGGAGCCCCTAAAAGAAATTCTTTAAGAAATCCTACCCAAACTCAATAGTCTCATATATTTTTTTCTGTGAGTCATAAGAATTTATTTTTCATATTTGATATTTAATCTACCTGAAATTGATCTTTATGTGTGGTGTGAAGTAGGGATCTATTTATTTTTTCCATATGGGAAGCATTATTCATTAAATAGCCCATTATCTCCACAACTGATTTGTAATACAATGTCAGGTACCAACTTTCCGGGCTTGAGTGTCTTTCCCTCACCTGATAACAGTAATTAACATTATTTTATAATATGCCTTTGTATCTGCTAGGGAGACTCCTACTATTGTCTTTTTAAAAACTTTTCATTATTTTAAGTTCTTGTTTAACTGGCTGTTGCATATGAACTTAGGATCAGCCTGTCAAGTTGTTGTTTTTTTTTTTAAAGCAAAATATACAAAAGCACCAAAACCCTGTGGGGATTTTGATTGGGCTTGTACTGGATATATAGATTAATTTGGGAAAAGTTGTCTTCACAATACAGAACATTCTCACCAATGAACATAGTTTACCCACCTAGTTTTCTTTTGTGTCTTTCAAAAAACTTTGTATCTTTTTCC